AATCTAAGACAATCAGAACAATTGTTGCATGTGAGTCTAACTATATATATATATGTATATATATATATATACATATATATATATATATACATATATATATATATATATGATTACTTAGCATGTGTTTTCAAAGAAGTTTTTGAACAACCTGGCCTTGTAGCCTGGCAGACAGCATTGATGTGCTGGCAGAGCAATTCCAAACTGTTTAAGTCTTTATTTAACCTTTTCATATTTTGCTGGCAGGCTTATGGAAGTCCCCTTCTTCAGACAATATTCTACAGTCTTCCTGAAGAAACAGTTATTGTGGATGTTTGAAGTTTTATTTTCTGCCAGGAGGTGCAGATTATATGGGTAAGTGCAAACACAGTCATAGGGGAGGGAAAGGATCGCCCCAGGTGTTTTTCATAACTTAATTATCCTACCCAAATCAAAAGAAGAGATATTTGGATATCCCAGGTATAAGCTGATTTTGGTTTTCATTCATGACTGTGACTGTTTCAGAATTTATTGAAAAAATGTGTTGGTACTCATCTCATCACCCAGAAATATTTTTTGCGCACTACAACATTACAGTCCTAGATACTTGGGATATAGGCAGTCAACAGAAATCAAATTCTTATTCACAAACACCTATAAATAAATTAATATAGTGTGCCTTTGTTTATTCTGTGCATCTAAAATACCTAATTTTATTCAATTTTACTGCCTTTTTCTATCTTACAAATCTAAATGAATTTCAATATCCTGAAGTGCATATTTCATTGTCTTTTGAAAAATCTCTAAGTATAAATCTATTTGATATTGTTGGTCTTTGTATTTAGCATTGTTCTTCCAAATATGTTCTCCTTGTTAGTAGCCTTTTGGGGAGCATGAGTATATGTGTGTAAATATATATACCCATGCCCCAAAATAGGTATGTTTTGAAGTTTTGTTTTCTGCCAGGAGATGCAGATTATATGGGTAAGTGCAAACACAGTCATATGTACATGAGTACCTACACACACTGAGATGATCTAACTAAGCAGTTATATAATATAAAAAGTCAAATGTGTGTATGTTTATACATGTTTGTGTGTATATTAAATATATAGCCATACATTGCTTAACAACAGGAATATGTTCTGAGAAATGCATCAGGCAATTTTATTATTGTGCAAATATCACAGTATAATTACACTAATCTAGTGGTATAACTTACTATACACCTAGGTGATATGGTCCTTATCTCATATCTTGTCCATCATTGACCAAAACTACATCATTAAGTCACACATTTATACAAATATACATTTATATTAAATATATATAATGATCATATATGGTACAAGGAAATTTCGTTTGTTTGATCTATACATTGTTCAAACTTATATTTCTCCAGATACTGATAAAGGTGATTTAAGTTGATATTATATTTGTATATATTAGAGTTCCTACAAATTGATGATAGCCAGTCCAACAGGGAAAATTGTGCACATCATGAATGAAAATAGGATGTGCAAATAATTGATGAATGTAAAATGTTGTTCAATCTCATTATTTATTAAATGCAAATTAAAATCACAGCTCAATGCTAAGATACACCTACTAGAATAGGTGAAATTAAAAAGGAAAAAGTACTGTTCACAAAATATGGAGGAACACTACAAATAGAAGCATAAATTGGATGACTACTTTAGAAATCTTTGAGTGGTATTTACTTGAGCTGAGTATGTCTGTACCTTATGTCCTTGCTCTTGTTTTGTACCCCCCAAAATATGTGTATTTTTTTGTATTTTTTCCAAAAGTAATGAATAAGGATGATCATGTTTGTAGTACCCTAAAGCTGGAAATTTCCCAAGTACCCATTAACAGTAAGATTTATACTGGAACATACAATTCAACAGAATGTTAAATGACTAAGAATGAACAATTTACAACATCATTTGAAATTATAAGTGAATCTCATAAGTATAAAGTTAGTTGAAATAAGTCAGGACAAACAGGATATACTATGTGTTTTTACTTATATTAATTTCAAACACAGGGAAATCTAACCTGGATCTATCACATAGAAGTTAGGATTTGGTTAGTGAGCGGGGTACAATGCTAAATGAATGGAAATGGAACAGACTAGTGTGTGCTGGTAATATGCTGATTCTTGGTTTACATACTGGTTACACAGATGTGTCACTTCATGAAAAGTCTGCAAATTGAAATTTGTGTAATTTTCTCACTATGTGTTATTTTAATAAGTTTTAAATGCTTAATATTTTTTTTTTATTAAAAAGTTTATTTTTACATCATTTAGCACATTTTTTTTTTATCTCAATTGTAATCCCCACGGGTTTCCCATCACCAAATCACCCCTGTGCCACCACCATAGTCCCGTGCATTTCCCTCCCTTC